TGAAGTTTGTGCTTCACTCCCTGATGGTTAACGATGGAATAATTGTGGATGAGAATCTACTGCTGGATTACTCCTTAGATCAGTGGATTATCATATCAGTCTCGAATGATGCACGATCTTCGAGAAAATCTCATTCTGTACTCTGGACTTCTTTTTAGCCCTCGATGCATGTCTGTATGCGATCGCTTGATTGAAACTTTTATCTCTTCTTGTGAAAATTTTCTCTCGAATATCCCCTTACGGATCAACACTTTTGCATTATGATGATGCAATGCAATGCAATGCAAATGACAAAATGACACAAACAAAAGAGAAATAAGTTAGTATACACAAACAAAAGAGAAAATAAGTTAGTACATGAAAATAATTGATACAAATAAAAATGTAATTCAGAGATGGATATAACACCTACCCCGTCATGATATCTACCCAAACATGCTTTCAATTAAATAACAATCCTACCCGGACATGCTATCTACCCAAAATGATCTATTTTCAAGAATTGGTCCTAACCGCAGTTCAATTCGGGGATTCACTGTCTTATACCCATACGAGGAATAAATTCCTACGAAGGTATAAAGTTATCCCATGGGTTATTTGCTAAAACTCATACGAAGAATAAATTCTTATGAGAGTAAAGCATCACCCCGACTACTTGGATCGAAGCTCGTGTCTAGAGCTCATGTTATGCAAATGCACGTGATGTGTGTGAGGAACGTACCTACCCTTTGACTCAAAACAGAAAAGAAAGAAAAAAACGACAAAAATTTGGACAGAACTGAAAGCAAAAGATAAAATGTTAGTATGATAATTAAAAATGAAGCAATTAAAAATTTCAATAACGGATCATAAGTTAACTATGTACTCGACTTATAATTTCCACTAAACGACAATGTGTAGCGACCTACAGCTTGACTCTCTAAAAAGATGTCCCCAGCAGAGTCGCCAAGCTGTAATAACCATTTTTATAAAACAATTATATATTATTTTAAAAACGATTATGACTTTAAATTAGAAAATTGGTGATTTGAAATTAATTTGAATTAAATTGAATAGAGTCGCCATCAACCTTTGGGTTAGGTAAGTCGAATACCTAAAGACGTCTTTTAAAACAATTTTAAGAAAAATCATTTTTAAGACAAAAATAGTCTGCATTTACCAAAGATTCAATTAAAATGGATTCGGGAGTCGGTTACGTGGGGAAGGCTATACACCCCCACAACGCCCAAATTGGTACTGTGTCGCTTACACATCGTCATAAATGGTGGAAGTTACAAATCGAATAAAAGTTATTTATATCCATTTATTGAGATTTATTTAATTTGCCTCGAATTATTTAAAGAAAATCCTTTAACTCAATCAAAATCTTGAAATTTGCAATCCTCCGTCGGGAAAGCTATTTCAACCATTTCTCATTCGAAAAGAATATTCTACCATTGATTATGTAAAAATTGCGAATCAAATATAACTAAAAGCGATGTTACATACGAGTAAATTGATTAAAAACGTGAATTGAATACAAATTAAAAAAATTTGAAATTTACATTCACATAAAATAAATAAATTGTCACTTAAAATAACACACATTGCATCGTTTGAACAAATTAATTAGCAAAATATACTCGACTTATTTCAAGTTTCTATGTCGTTAAAATGCCGTACCGGATCACACCACTTCGATCAAGTGGTACTTTCCACGCCCATTCTACGCATACGTGTTCTTGAAAATATAATCGAATATTTCATACATAGATAAATAAATGAAAATAATGTAATTGGAAATACAAAATAAAATATTCACATTACTAAAAACATTATTTACATACAAATAACCGAATAACAAGTACAATAAATCATACCTAAATGAATAAAATAAAATATTACAGATCTAAACACAATATAAATATCACATTTGATTTTAAGGTACCAAATAAAATAATAAAAACCTAAAGGAATAAATAACAAATAAAACAAATAATCCAGGGCCAAACAAAATATTAAACAGTATGCAAATCATACACAATAAGATTAGGGACCAAGAAAATAATAGAAACTTAAAAAGCTAAACAATATTATAAATAAAGAAGAGCCCAGATAGCAAACATTAAATAATACATGAACCGAAATATAAATAACCCATAATAATACTTAGGACTAGATTGCATTAAAATATAACATGAAGGCCGAATCATAATTAAACCAAAAGTAAAACAATGACTAAGATAATAGACTTATAATTATCATAGCCAAATTTGAATATCAAAGAAAATACACACCTAAGATTAGTGACTAAAATATAATATTTATAAATGTCAGAGATAAATTCGAAACTCAGCCAAAATACATAACATATAAACTCAGGGGCTAAAATGAAACTATTACAAACATTGGGACCAAAGTCAAATATCCACAAAAATGACATAACATACATTAGTAGGACTAAAATATAAACAAGGAAACATAGATGCCCAAAACAAAAGAAAACAAAATAGACATTAAACCAAACATCAAACAATGACTAAAATAGAATATATACGAATGATGACCAAATTCAAATAATAGTAAAGATAATAAAAATGCATGGGATCAGTGATTAAATTAAAATATTTGAAAATATTAAATCAGAATCAAATATAGACAAATATGATATAAACATGAACAGGGACTAATATATACATTTGCAAATTCAGGACCAAATCCGAATATCAAAGGAAAATGCCCAATAAACTGCAACAGTGACTAAAACGAAATAAATAAATATCACAACCGAATTAATATCAGCAAACATAATATACAAATTAATGACTGAAATGCAATTATTAAAAACTAAAAGGCTCGAAATAAAACAATAATAATTTCATTAAATGACTTAAATAAAGCATTACAAAGGAGAAGGGACCTAAACTGTAGTTACCCCATGCTTGCAAAACACGGGTACCCAGACCCTTGAAACGGTGGCGTGTTGGAAACAAGTTATAAGCCTTGTTTTAGGGTTTAGAAAACCCTATTCCTATTTGGTTTCATTCTCTCCCTCAGTAGTAATACCGAAGCATTCAGGGGAGAGCTCTCAGCTTCTTCATCGCACGAGGCGGCCCAGAGTCCGACCACCGTGAACCGGTGGCCACGGGACGCAGAATAAACGAAAGGGTCCCCTTTGACCACAAAGTCCTCTGCTCCGGTGAAGCAATCAACGGCCGGACCGAATCCAAGGTAAGCCTCTCACTCTATCTCTATTTCTCTCGAGCTTTCCTTTGTTTCGAGCCCCCCACCCGAAGCTCTCTGTATTTTCTTTCGTTCTCCCTCTGTTGCTCTCACCGAATCCTCTCCCCTCATAATGGTTGCCTGTTGGATTTTTTTTAAGGGTTCTTTCGGTGATAATGGTACCTAAGGCTTAGGGAAATTATGGGTTTTTGATTTAGGGTGATTGAATCCCAGATTTTCGGGATTATAGGGATTTTTATTTAGATTTATTTTTTTTTTTTTATTGGGTTTTTTCTCTGATTTGCTGATTGATTTGGTATGTTGTCACTGTTGACTGCTTGAGGGATGGGCTCTGATCGGCTCGGGAAGCTTTCGACGATGGCTCGTCGACTGGGAAACTGGAACTCACTGGCGGCAGTGGCTTGATGGCTGTTGGCTTGAACGGCTACTGGAACGTTGAAGAGGCACGACGGCTGGATTGGCTTAGGGTTGTGAAACCCTATTTACCATCGATCTGGACCGTTGAATGGGTCCAGATCGAATGGTCTATGTTGGTGCGGTGCTGGGATGTTGATACCCTAAGGTTAGGGTTTGCAATCGGGCTGCTGAGTGATGGGTATGGGCTCGGGTCAATTGGGCTTCGTTTGTTGGGCATGGGTTGGCCTGCAAAACAGTGTAATATGTAAATTGTAAGTTAAATAATAATAATAATGCTAATAATAATAATTAAAATAACGATAATAATAATATATACAAAAACCCGGACAAAAACGGGTGTCTACAGTAAGATCATCTGTTCTTTTATTTCGGCCTACTGGAACTACTTTTGGTTACACTTAAATAAAATGGCAGCCAATTATGAGACTGAATCTTCTTACCATTTTGCTTGTTCAATAGATCAAGGCCGCTGAATCGGCGAAGAAAGCTAAAAAGTGAGGATCGTGCTCATCTTCAAGCCCATGTTTATCGACAGCAATGCTTTACTAGTCGGAAGGTTTTAGGTGTTCTTGAAACCTGCAGTTTGGTGTTAGTATTATCTTAGTTAATAATATCTGATTATCATGTTTTTTTAATAGATTATGTTTTTTTTGAACTATCTAGTGTAATGCATCTTTATTTCCAGTAATATAGAAAGTAGTTTATAGCTATTTATTATGATTTTATTGAATTAACACTCAATCTATAGAGATTGAACAATGGGCTTTTAAGTTGGGCCCACATATGCAAGTTAACATCCAATTGAACAAGCGATACCAGTAGACATTATTAAAATTTTATTTTATTATATTTGAGTTGACAAGTTAATGTCTAATGCATATGGTGGTTTATATTTTAACAAAAAAGATAAATTTAAAATATATGAATAGATAAAAAACTAATCTATTAATTTTTAATAATTGACAGACTCAATAAAATAGTGTTTAGAAAATATAACAAATAGTATTCTATAGTAAAAAAAAAATTATGTATTGTACCTTAATTTTTTAGCTCAAAATTCATTTAATTCTTAGCCCAATAAAGGTTTGGGTTTGTCCAACTTCAATAATGAGTCGGCCTAGTGATAAATTCAATAAACTCATTAATTTAGGTTATATGTTATTTTTTATATATTTGACGCAATTCTTTATTTTTTTAACCCATAGAATTTTATTATATTTAAACCAAAAAATAATTAAAAAAAATATAATTACATTTGTAAGTGTATTTATTTAATTAAAAAACAAAATAGAATAATAGAATATATATTCTTTTATTTATTTACATATGCTATGGTTTTCTCTGTCCTTTGAGGCGTTGACTGTAGTTATAGGAGAGTACAAGCAAAGGTTGCTTATTTTAAGGTAAATTGTGAATGGAGTTGGTGTAATTTACTGATTTATGAATTATCTATGCAGAATTGGCCTTCTTGTTTCTTGTTGAAATATACAAATATTCAGTGGCTGCTTTACTGATTTTTTTTATACTCTTTTTCTTTCCTTTTTTTATATACTTGTTTTCAAGCTTACTGTTCAATTCTATTTAGTGGCTGCTTTGCTTGTTTTTATTTATTTATTATTATGCATTATCTTTCTTTATATATTTATATTTGCCGATTGTTTTCCATTGTTAAATTGCTGTTCTTTTCAATCAAATTGTGGAGTTTCTGAGAATTTGCCATGGAGGGAAAAAGTGCAATCAAGAAAGACGTTACTGAAGTAATGTTTTTTTTCTCCTTTTTTTCTCTCTCAATTATTTAAGTCTTTCATGTTGCCCATAGTCACTTTATTTAATGTCCTTGTGGCTTATGCAGTTAATAGGTAATACGCCAATGGTATATCTGAACAATATCATTGATGGTTGTGGAGCTCGAATTGCTGCCAAGCTCGAGCTCATGGCACCTTGCTGCAGTGTTAAAGACAGACATAGCCTTTTTATTTACATTTGATTAGCATATTCTTCGCAGAATCTTGGCGAAGTGTTGTCTGCAAATTAACACCTTTTGTCGGTCTTTATTGATCCACAGGATTGCTTATAGTACTATTAAAGATGCAGAAGATAAGGGCTTGATTACTCCAGGGAAGGTATGGTACCATATTCGAAGATGCTTTGCTGGGTTTAGCTTTGGGATTAATGCATATGAAGTGATTGTTTGATAAACTAACCGGGAAGAAATATAGATCCAAGAACCCTTGAACTTTAGATTGTCTTCTGACTTTATCAGATATGCCTATGATCAAATATGGCAAGGTCTATTTTGCTGCTACAGTATTCTAAGATGCTTTGCTCAGTTTAGCTTTCGGATTAATGCATACTAATTGATTGTTTGATTACCTAACCAGGAAGAAATATAGACCCAAGAACCCTTAAACTTTGTCAGATGTGCATATGATCAAATATGGCTAGGTCTATTATGCTACTTTGCTTGGTATAGTACCGTATTCTAAGATGGTTTGCTCGGTTTAGCTTTCGGATTAATGCATATGAAGTGATTGTTTGATAACCTAACCAACAATTTAATGTTCGACTGTTTTGTAAGACATTATAACGGTACCTCATGCAGTTTTGCTTCAAGACTTGCTTCAGTTAACATTTGACCAAATGAGGACTATTTTCCACATGGAATGGTCCAGCTATGGGACATTTAAGCTAATTAACTTCCCATTTGTTCTGCATATATCAAAATAATGTTGGCTAAAGAGTGTCCTCATCGAACCAACTAGTGGTAATACTGGCATTGGATTGGCTTCCATTGGGGCGGCCAGGAGTTACAAAGTTATTGTCACAATGCCAGCTTCTGTGAGCATCGAAAGGAGAATCATTCTTCGAGCTTTTGGAGCTGAGGTATACCTCACAAACCCAGCCAAGGGCTTCCTGGGGACACTAGACAAGGCTAACGAGATACTGAGGAACACACCTAATGGTCACATGTTACTGCAATTCGATAACCCTGCCAATCCACAGGTAGCATCTTACTGTTATAACATTTCTAATGTTTAAAAGATTTAATGAATTCTTTGTTGAAGATTCATTATGAAACCACCGGCCCAGAGATATGGAAGCGTCGGAAAGGAAAGTTGATGTACTTGTTGCAGGCATAGGGACTGGTGGTACAATAACAGGTGCAGGGAAGTTCCTCAAAGAGAAAAACTCAGCTATCAAGGTTTGTTCCCCATATGAGACTGAAATTCAGACAAAGAGCCAATGTTCTTGTTGATATGTTAATAAGAACATTTTCTTCTTTCGTCAACATATAGGTTTATGGCGTAGAACAGGTTGAAAGTGCCATCTTGAATGGTGGGAAACCTGGTAAGCTTTTCAAGTTAATTTCTTTCACCTTCATTCTTCATTTTTCCTTATACCTCCATTGTCTGTTTTTTTTTTTTATATTATTGGACTTACTGTTGTTTCAAAACTATTAAGTTCAACATCCAGTAAGTTACACTTTGCCGTAATTCATTTTCTCCATGCCATGGCCTATGTGATTTTGTCAAAGGCCATCATCTGATCCAAGGAATTGGCGCTGGTGTAATCTTTGATGTTTTGGATGTTAGCCTTCTTGATGAAGTTATCCAGGTAAGTCTCGAAAGCATATCTGTCACTCGGTATCTAATCCCGAAAACCGGTACTGAACTTGTGTTACCTTCCATTTCTTACAAGCCTAGAAACAGCTCTGGGAACTTTGCAATGGGTTTGATTCCTGAAAAATCAACGAATCTCGGCTTGATTTAATTTTTCGTTTTATTAAAAATATGATTTGGGGTTTGTTGTTTATGTTTGGGGTGATTTTTGCAGTATCTGAGGTGTTTGCAATGGATATTTCTCTCTGAACATTTATCTTCAATAAAAGTTATGACTTGGAACAAAAACTATCAGGCATCAATCGTCTGATCCATTGATTATCATATATGATGCCATGTTAGTTTCCTCGTATCGATTCTAGGAAACTTTGCAATGGCTTCAATATCTGTGAAATTAACCGATTTTCATTTCCATGACGATGATAGTGTTTGTTTCCCTTATAGGAACCGATTTCATTCGACAATACCAGTATCAATAATCTGATCCATTGTTTATCCTAGATGATGCATGGTAGTTCCCTGTTCTATATATTTATACTTTCTGCTGTCACAACTTGTTAGGTATCTAGTGAAGAAGCTATTGAAAATGCTCAACTGATAGCCTTGAAAGAAGGTTTGCTGGTATGTTCGTATCTGTTAATCGATTCTTATAACTGTCTCGGTTACTTTTTCTTTGTTTTAACCTTGTTTGCTCAAATGAATAAATCTTGACAGGTTGGTATATCATCTGGTGTGCTGCAGAGGCTGCAATTAAGGTGGCAAAGAGACCAGAAAATACAGGCAGACTCGTAGTTGTGAGTCACATTCCCTTCTTTTAAAATCCTATATGCTATAATAATTCTTGGTATTACTCCGATTCTTCATTTTTCCTGAAATATTAGCGTTTGATATCAACAAATATAAACTCGTATCTGAAACTTATACTGAACACCAAGTAACAAATGTTGAACATCATTATAGCCCATTCATCTATACATGAATGTGCGATGCTGGGATAGGGTTTGAAAACTCAAAATGCTCATGTTATTGATTTGTTTAATCGATTCTGGATCACTGATTGCTGATTTGGTTCAGGTAATTTTTACCAGTGCCGGTGAGCGTTACTTGTCGTCTGCACTGTTTGAATCCCTAAGGCATGAAGCAGAGAACATGCCCATCCATTGATGTCATTATTACACTCGTTCACTAATTCTTTCTTCTTTGCTTTCTACCATCAACTATAACTGCCTGCATTTTTATCCCTTCTAATCTCTGCTCTATGTATTCGGATTTAAGATCAGTGCTAAATATGGATACGTGTTCCATATGAATATACCTAATTATTTATAATTTTCTTTTCAAATATACAGAAATAAATAATTCTGATCAATCCAAACCTTACAACATATTAATATAATTTTTTAATCTGTAATCTTTGGTTTTTTATACGTATATATATATTACTATTTTAAACAATTTCTTGATTAAAGATTAAAAAATTTGAATATGTTTAAAAATGTCAATTATGTCTATCTGCTACATCCTCATTCACATGTGAACTACTATTTCAGTACTATAAATCGTAATGTCATTGTAAACTATTATGTCACAATCAATGGTAATTTTTATCGATTAAAAGAACACGTTAATTAATTTTTTATATTTAAAGATTTAATTAGATAAAAAATAAAATCCATAGTGAATTTCTTTTCAAAAGTTCTAAGTCCTAAACGACCATTAAACCTATAAATGTATGATGATTAAGATTGCAGGTCTAAATGAAATATTAAATAGAATTTAAGATTTGAAGTAAATCCAAATAAGATCGTTGAACTAGAAGAATCCACTTGGAATGGCGAATCTCGAAGTAGAGATCTCAAGATTACTAGAATCTCAACATTATTAAAACAAAAAACTTTATTTATGTTAATATATTATATGTTGATTACCTTGGTCCTGGTGCTATGCTCTTCCGGTATAATTTGTATTTTTATTGAACCATATATTTTGTATTTTTAACTCTAATAGAAAAAGAGATGTTAAAGTCAGCCGCTTAGTTGAAGTTATCAAGGGATTTTAGTGATAAAAGAGAGTTTTTCTCCTTAAAGATCTCGAATTTGAACAATTATATGTACAAGATGTGTACGTGTTAGCGGGTAATATTCTAATTTATATAAGTGAAAATATTAAAATTGATAGGGTTTTATTATTATTTTGTTTAAAAGAATTTTTTTAACCAACAATCAATTACGTTGGATTAACTCTTATCTTTCGCGTCATTCAAGGGAGTAGTCCACATCTTTATAACTAGTAGCATGCAACGTACATCAATTTTTTATATATCTAACAGATGTGTTCTTGTCGTTTTCTCTCTAACTACCTGTTTTTGATCACGTGCATTGAAAACAACTAACAAAATATAATACACACTTTATAAGCTTATCTTTGAGGCAAAAGTTGCTTATTTTAAGTGATGGGAGCTAGTGTAATTTATGATTTATAAATTCAGAGCTGATCTATGCCTTTTATAAACAGTTCAGAAGCTTGAGTTTTCACTAAAAAAACACTTGTTTTCCTTTGTTAAATTACACTTCATTTCGATTAAATTCAAGAATTCGTCATGTACGACAAATGTGCAATCAAGAAAGATGTTATTGAATTAATGTTTTTTCTCTCAATCATTTAAGTCTTTTGTGTTGCCATTAGTCTTCTGCATCTTTCTTTAATCTCCTTGCGGCTTATGCAGTTAATAGGTAATACGCCTATGGTATATCTGAACAACATCATCGATGGTTACGGAGGTCGAATTGCTGCCAAGCTCGAGCTCATGGCACCTTGCTGCAGTGTTAAAGACAGGCATAGCCTTTTTATTTGCATATTCTTCACAGCATTTTGGCCAAGTGTTGCCTGCAAATTAACACCTTTTGTTGTTGTTTATTGATCCACAGGGTTGCTTATGGTATGATTAAAGATGCAGAAGATAAGGGCTTGATTACACCAGGGAAGGTATAGTACCGTATTCAAAGATGCTTTGCTCGGTTTAGCTTTTGGATTAATGCATATGAAGTGATTGTTTGAGAACCTAACCAGGAAGAAATATTATCCGAGAACCCTTAAACTTTAGATTGTCTTCTATGACTTTATCAGATATGCCTATGATCAACCCATGGCAAGGTTTTGCTTATTTTCTCGGTATAGTACCATATTCTAAGATGCGTCGCTCGGTTTAGCTTTCGGATTAATGCATATGAAGTGATTGTTTGACTTTAGACCGTTTCGGTAAGACTTTATAATGGTACCTTATGCAGTTTTGCTTCAATTGACATTTGATCAAATGAGGGCTATATTCCTCATGGAAGGGTCCAGATATGGAGCATTTAAGCTAACGAGCTTCCCATTTGTTCTGCATATATCGAAACAATGCTATTGCTGGCTAAAGAGTGTCCTCATCACGCCTACCACTGGTAATGCTGGCATCGGATTGGCTTTCATTGGGGCAACCAGGGGTTACAAAGTTATTGTCGCAATGCCAGCTTCTGTGAACATCGAAAAGAGAATTGTTCTTCGAGCTTTTGGAGCCGAGGTATACATCACAAACCCAACCAACGGCATTCAGGGGGCGACAGAAAAAGCTAACAAGATACTGAGGAACACACCTGATGGTCACTTGTTACTGCAATCCGATGCCCAGCCAATCCACAGATAAGCATCTTTATTGTTATAACCTTTCTAATGTTCCATTATGTGATGTTAAAAGAACTGACGAATTCTTTGTTTAAGGTTCATTACGAAACCACTGGTCCGGAGATATGGAAAGTCTCAGAAGGGAAAGTTGATGCACTGGTTGCAGGCATAGGGACTGGTGGTACAATAACAGGTGTGGGGAAGTTCCTCAAAGAGAAAAACTCGGAGATCAAGGTTTGATCCTCATTTGAGACTGACAAAGAGCCAATATTCCTGTTGATGTGTTGATAAGAACATTTTCTTCTTCTGTCAACATATAGGTATATGGCGTAGAACCGGTCGAAAGTGCCATCTTGAATGGTGGGAAACCTGGTAAGCTTTTCAAGTTAATTTCTTTCACCTTCATTCTTCATTTTTCCTTTTACTGTCATTCTCAACTTCTTTTGATGTTATTGGAATTAATGTTGTTTCAAAACTATAAAGTTCAACATCCAGTAAGCTACTTCTTTCCGTAATTTGTGCAATATCTTGTACTTAACTATTTCCTCCATGCCATGGCATGCGTGATTTTTGTCGAAGGCCCTCATCTGATCGAAGGAATTGGCGGTGGTGGAATCTGTGATGTTTTGGATGTTGGCCTTCTTGAAGAAGTTATCCAGGTAAGTCTCAAAAGCATCACTATCACTCGATATCTAATTCCGAGAACTGGCTCTAAACTTGTGCTACCTTCCATTTCTTACAATGCAAGAAACAGCTCTAGGGAACTTTGCAATTGGTTTGATTTCTGATTCATAATATGATCCATTTTTTATCCTATATGATGCATGGTAGTCTTCTATTCCATATATTTATACTTCCTGATGTTTATAACCTCTTATGTATCTAGTGAAGAGGCCATTGAAACTGCTAAACTGTTAGCCCTGAAAGAAGGTTTGCTGGTATGTTCATAATTACGACCGCCTCGATCACTTGTTCTTAGTTTTCCCTTATTTTTTTGCTCAAATGAATCGATCTCGACAGGTTGGTATATCATCTGGTGCTGCTACAGAGGCTGCAATTAAGGTGGCAAAGAGGCCAGAAAATGCAGGCAAACTCATAGTTGTGAGTCACATTCCCTTCTTCATTTTTCCTGAACTATTAGTGTTTGGTATTGATATATATACTCGTATCTGAAACTTATATCATTCATCTATACCTGAATGCACAATGAGGAGATGGAGTTTGAATACCCAAAATACTCATATTTGATTTGTTTAATTGGTTCTGCATCACTGATTGTTGATGATCTTCATTTTGGTTCGGGTAATTTTACCCAGTGCCGGTGAGCTTTACTTGTCGACTGCATTTTTTGAATCCATAAGGCATGAAGCAGAAAACATGCCCATCCATTGATGCCATTATTACCCTCATTCACTAATTTTCTACTTTGCTTTCTACCATCAACCATGCCTGCATGCACTTTCTCCCTTCTAATATGTGCTCTATGCAATGGCGGAACTATGTTAGGATATAGCCCCTCTCCAAATTTGGAAAAATCATCATTATATCCTTTGAATTTTTTAAGAAAAAATAATTTGGCATCCTCAGGATATTTTATAATTTTTATTTACCCCTTTAACTTTTTAAATGTTTACATGAATATATATTTATATGAATTTTAATAATTTGGTGTATTTAATTTAAATTTTCACCACGATAAATCACAAACATACCAATTTAATTTCTCGTGTCGACCGAGCACCCATTAACCCACTTAATGGATTTTCTTAGTGGACTCAATATTGGACCCAAACGAATGGAAATTGACACAAAAATGTGACAAAATGAGGTTTTTGCTTTGCATGCTGTAGTCCAATGACCTAGAAAATTATTTAACCATCTCAGGATATTTATAATTTTATTTACCCCTTTAACTTTTTAAATGTTTACATGATATATATTTATATGAATTTTAATAATTGGTGTATTTAATTTAAATTTTCACCACGATAAATCACAAACATACCAATTTAATTTCTCGTGTCGACCGAGCACCCATTAACCCACTTAATGGATTTTCTTAGTGGACTCAATATTGGACCCAAACGAATGGAAATTGACACAAAAATGTGACAAAATGAGGTTTTTGCTTTGCATGCTGTAGTCCAATGACCTAGAAAATTATTTAACCATTTTACGTATATTTTGGGCATAAAAATTGAGCCAGAATTCTAAAATTTCAAATTTCTTTATTACAAGTGATCATTGTTACTGTTGTTTTCATCGTCGCCTTTTATCATTCATCACTTCATTTTTTATTGTACTTCTCAATGTATGGTGGAAGAACCGTCGCACTTCCAAATCGTTACACTTCTAAATTATCGCGTTTGTACTAATTCGATAAAAGGCAACAATATCAATCGTAGAAACAAGTGATTTTGGTCAAGGAATGTTCGGCCAATTATATGACATTAAGGGGCGTTTGGTTAAGGTAATCTAAGATTACCGGGGAATGTAATATATTTCTCCCGTTTGGTTAGTCAACATTTTCAGCCCTCAATAATATTTTATTACCAACAGTGGATTTTTATGGTATATTATCGGGAATGTCATTACCTTTATTCCTTTAGGTATTGTTAGATTACCGACGTTTTGGACTAAAATGTCCTTAATTTATTTTTCTTCAAAAATATCATTCTTCTGTCGTTGAATGATAAAAATTCGACAAATGTTTAATTACAAATTTATCTTTAAACTATTTTAGATTTACAAAAAAAGTCTATAATTAGAATTTTATATGAAGTTCAGGGGTTAAAATAAAATTTTACCCTTTCATTAAACTTATTTATCTTTTGAATTTTTAAAAAAAAATTATATAAATTTTATGAATTTAAATTTTTTAAAAATATATATAAATTAATTATAGTAGAATTCAACTTGTTAAAAAAACAAATATAGAATAAGGACAATTTAGTAAAATATACATTCCAATAATCTTTTATTCGTTTAACCAAACACGGTAATCATACATTCCTGTTAAACCAACCAAATACAAAATACAACATTCTCAACAATCCTATTATCTGATAATCTTTTATTTACAATGATAATTTTACATTTCGTGAACTAAACGCATATTAAAGTTTTGGCCCGTTAACGGTGTTGATGTTGACGAACAATAATAAGATAATTAAAATTAGAGCTTTTAGGAGTTTTTTTTTTTTTTTGTAATTTTGAAAACTGGGTTTTTTTTAAAAGATTAATAATTTTAAACTGGATTAGCATTACTAATCGAAATCCTCGGGCGGGGGCATGGGACAGGTACAGTAGTTATCTCCTACAAATGCTCTTGATGTTTTAAACGGTGTCGTTGGATCGGTTTTTCCACAACACCGATAAGCCACTTTCGCTTCTATTTTTCCTCACTTCCTCTTTTGACTTTCAAGTTCAGTTTTTACGAGAAGAGTTTTTTTTTTCCTCCTCAATTCATTTATTTATTTAATGATCATCGCTTCGCCTAAATCTCTGTTTCTTCTTCTCATAGCGCGTTCAACGCAAACAAAAACAATAAATAATTAAAAAAAAATCAAATTCCGAGACGCACTAAAATATTCTAGGGTTTAATTACGTTCCCCCTTGTTATCACTGTTTAATTTCCATCGACCCTCGATTTCTTCTTCAAACTACTGTCTCGGTAAGTTCAAAGCTTGGTCTCCTCACTTTTTTTCTCATTTTTTATCCGATCATTGATTTCGCGCGCTCTCTACCATATTTTTGGTTTTCTTATCTGTTTATTTCTTTAGTTGACTTATTTTTGGTTAGATTTTACTTTTTTGCGGATAGCTTGTTTATATGTATGATTTTTATTGTTTTTAATATTAATTTATCTAGATTGATAACTTCGGTTAAGTATTGTCTGAATTTTCATCGTGTTCATCGCAATTTTAGAAATCATGTTCAATTAAGATAATAATTCAAATTTTAGTTGCAAGACTTACTTTTCTTGTTTTCGTTTTTTTAGTTGAAACTTGATTTTAATGAGAATTTAGTTGTGAATTTTCAATCAATTTCTGCAAATTCACGCGGAAAGATATTTTTAACTTTTAAAATAGTAGATAATTAGGTCTACTTTGGTAAATTTCAATAGTTGCATCTTATTATTATTGTTGTTGTTGTTGTTGATGATGATTTTTATTGCACAATACAGGATATTCTTACTTAATATATCCTGTTGATATTCAAATATTTAGTGGGCAATGACATATATGTGCCAGAGTTTTTAATTTTCATTCCACTTTTTATCTAGGGGTCACTGCAATGCATCGAGTGCCCAGTACTGGGAACAATTCTAATTCTAGCCGACCACGTAAAGAAAAGAGGCTGACATATGTATTGAATGATTCTGATGACACAAAGGTGAAGTTATTTTTGTTTGTCTCTCTCTCTCTCTCTCTCTGTGTATGTTTTCCTTTTCTTTTTATCTTTTTGTATTTTCTGCTTATAATTGTTTTCCCTTTTGAAGTGAACAAGATGACTTTCTCGGTATTTGGCAATCCTGAGGAATTTGCATACTCATATGTTATTAGGATTCTAATTGTTTATCTATGTTTTCACTGTGATGTTGCATTTTTTTATTATCGGTGTTTAAGCTATTTTATTTTTATATTTCTTTAATTTTATGCATTACTGAAGATGGAGGGTCTCAAACTTATAATGATCCATAGAATAGTCATTTAAGTATGTTTTTTTTCTTTTACATGTTTAGGTTTACAATACATTGCTATATGTTCTTTTCATCAAACTGAGTTAGAAATTGTATATATTCTATGATGATAAACTTGCTGTATTCAAAATCTATTTGGGGTTGGAGCTTGCAAACATCCTTTTCCAAGATACACCTTTTCTAGTCTCATTATCGAATGCTTTTTATCCTTTGGATTGGCCATAATTCACACACACACAAAAAACATTTTGTATCTTAGCAAAAGAGGGAAGGGTTAGGATGTTTCAAGTGTAAGATATCTCATTGTTTGAGGAACCCTAGATGCTGTAGAAGTAATGGATTGCCTGAAAGGGCATTTTAGTTCGATGTAGATTCTTATCCAAGAATTGTAGCATTTGGTGATGACATGTAAATTGCTCGAAACATGTAAAGTGTATGCTAACCAATAACAAATGTTTCTTAAGGGAACTGGAGTAGGCTACCCTGAGAGAACACAGATTATTTATAAAGTTTATGGTCATACTAAATTAAAATGAAAAATAACGATATGTGTTTTTAGTAACTAATTCTTTATATTATCGATGCTTCTATCATTATACATTAATATAGGCCATCATGTTCACAATAAGCTTGGTTAACTTTGCGTATGATTTTCCTTATATTCTCAATTATAAAAGTAATTATCTTGAATTGTAGATTAGTTGATCATTGTATCACTTTATTTTGGGTACTGAATCTAGGCACTGATGTTTCTCTACTTTGATATATGTATATATATATTTGCAGCATTCTGCTGGCATAAATTGTTTGGCTGTGCTAGAGTCATCTGTCTCTGATGGGTTTAACTATCTCTTCACTGGAAGCCGTGATGGCACGCTTAAGAGATGGGCACTGGGAGAAGATGCTGCCACTTGCTCTGCTACATTTGAGTCACATGTTGATTGGGTACCTTCTTTTTTTCTCTGAGCATGACCGTCATACTTTAGACGATTTTTTAATTGCTAACTTTTTGTTGGAAGTATATGATAATATAATTATTAATCTTTTGGTCTATTACAATGCAAATATCTTGGAAGCAAATATCTTTTGGTCTAATACTTTTTGTTGGGGGTGGATTTCAGGTTGTATCTTGTAATTTCTTATGTTCAATGAAATCCTAAGGCACACTTTTCCTCCTTCCGATGATTAAGGAGTTTGTCTTTAAACTCCTTTAATCAAGAAGGGGAATTTTAACGAGGCCTTCAATTCCTATCAAAAAAAATATTATCATATGAATGATTGCTTACCTGTTCAACAAAAGTATTCGTGTTGAGAGCTTTTTCGTCTTCTTTTCCTTCACTTCGTTAAATTCACCATCTAATTATCTTATATAACATACATCTCTGTAACTGTGTAAATTGTGATTGGGAATTTCCTTGTGCAGATAAATGATACTGTAATTGCTGGTGAAAATACTCTTGTTTCCTGCTCATCAGACACCACATTGAAGGTTTGTTGTTAATTGGTGTATGAGATGTAGCTGTTCTCTTTTTAATTTGTTAAGTATTGACATGTGCTCTTTCCATGTGGTACACCAGACATGGAATTGCTTGTCTGATGGGACTTGTACCAGGACACTTCGTCAACACTCAGACTATGTTACATGTCTAGCTGCAGCTGAAAAAAATGTAATTTAATTTCTATATTAAATTTTGTTTGGATTTTATTAGATGCATGGATGAAATGCTCATGTCGGTGTACTATTGCTAATTACGTTTCATGGTTAATTTGGTTGTTTAAGTTGTGCATCAAGACTTGTTTTTTAATATTATAGAAATAGAAATCACTTTCTGATTCTTTTTTAATATTTTAGAAAAATGTGGTTGCCTCTGGGGGTCTTGGGGGGGAGGTTTTCGTATGGGATATTGAAGCTGCAGTCACTCCAGTCTCAAAGTCTAGTGATTTAATGGAAGATGATTGTTCCAATGGTATCAATGGTTCTGCAAATTCATTACCTATATCAAGTTTGCAAACAATTTGCTCAAATAACGGTCTTACTGCCCACACAACTCAATGTCATGGATATGTCCCCATTGCTGCCAAAGGCCATAAAGAGTCAGTCTATGCATTAGCTATGAATGATAGTGGATCCCTTCTTGTATCTGGTGGAACTGAGAAGGTAAGTTTTGCTTCTTTCTGAAGTCAATTTTTATGAAAATTACATATTTCTCTCCCCTATAGAATTTTTTTATTCTTATCAACAGTCCTATGCTGCAAAATATTTTGAGAGCAATGAGTGTAGAGACTAAAGTCTAAACCATATTATGGCTTCATGTGTATATGTTCACTTTTGTTTTGTAAGTGAAATCGAATTGGGGTGGATGCTTTTTCTTTGACATATTAGGGAGTTTATCATTGTCTGACGGGTTCTTCCCTTGATTGTCTTTTAGTGAATTCTTTTATTTGTTTCTATCCATGTTCTTATGTTCTGTATTTATTATATTGGTGAAAAGTTTGATAGACATTTTGTATTCTCCCAGGTACTGTTTATCTGGGTCCTCTGATTCCATGATCAGGTATGTGCAATTCACTGTTGCATAACCACATGTAATTTTCAACAATAAGAAAGAAAAGAACTTGCCTTTTAAATGGTCATTATTTTATGTTGTAGACTATGGGATCTTGGTCAGCAGCGTTGCGTGCATTCGTATGCTGTGCATACAGATTCTGTTTGGGCACTTGCAAGCACCCCGACATTTACTCATGTTTATAGTGGTGGTAGAGATCTTTCTGTGAGTACATATTCATACCAAACCTTATTAGCATAATCTTTATCGTTTTTGCCAATGTTTTGACGTAGAATTTTCCAAGTAACCTGTGCTGATACAGTGCAATTGGCTTATAGTATTTTAGGATTTATTGAGATTAAAGGATTGTAAATTACTAGAATAATTAGGGGTTCTATTTATTTATATAGGTTGAGATTGGATGGACCTAATAAAAGATATAGAAATCTAATCCTGGGCTATGCTGATAATTTTAGCAGTATTTGTAACTGGTAAATTAAGGTTTAAGGATTTAATTCGATAATGAATGAACGTTAGTGGTATTTGGATTTATTGGAAGTATTCAAGGCTGGTAATTAGAGATAAGACGAAGAATAAGTGATCTTGGCTTCATACCTAAGCATTAGGACAAGGGTTGTTTAACAGTTCTGAAAGTTCTCATAAGTTGTTCGCTAGTAATTAAAATAGATCGTACTCATCCGTAGATAATTTTCCTACAAAGACATGGGATTAGTAGGAAACTCCAAAATTGACTTAAACAACTCCTAAGCAATGAATAAAAACCTAATAAAATAAGACAAACCCAAGTAAATATGGTTCCTAGCATCAAATTCTTATGAAACTATATGCGAATGAATGAAACAGAAAACAAATAAAATACTGCAACTTAAGCTCAAAGAAAGGTAATGTTAAGACTTGGTGTCTATTCTCGCTCAATTATATGAATCATTCTGATATCGAACAAGTGCAATACTTCCAAATCTTTTTAGAATGTGATCTTGGCAATTCTTGACATTCTCTTATGCAACTTCTAATAACTACCTTTAACTCTCAACTTGCACTGGTTTAGTTATATTTGACAGACTTGACAACAAGAGAGAGTCTTTTGCTTTGCAAAAAGGAACACCCAATTTTGCAGTTGGCATTGCATGATGATAGTATATGGGTTGCAACGACAGATTCTTCAGTTCATAGATGGCCTGCTGAAGGACGAAATCCTCAGAAGGTCTTTCAAAGAGGTGGTTCGTTCTTGGCTGGAAACTTGTCTTTTTCAAGGGCAAGAATTTCCTTAGAAGGGTCTACCCCTGTAAGTATAATTTGTGTGCGTCCGTAAAATGTGCATTAAATAATATATCTGTTTGTATGTTATTGCTTACAGCAATCACCTTGTTCATGATAAGAACTTTTTGTATCACACTCACACATCCTTCTTTTCTCGTTTATTGATTTGTGTCAAGTATCATTAAATATACAAACTCTGTTTTGTAGTAGGATTTTTTTTTTTTATACACTTCAATTGTAGTGAATTTTTCCTACTCATTTAGTTATTAGTGGTTCTATTCATTTGTTCTTTGCTCACCTAACCCCAAGGAAAAAAAAGAACAAATATTGGATTTTATTTTCATTAATCACAATGTGCTTTGTTATGGATACCTCTTCGAAGTTTGAATGTCTATGGAATTTGTTGTAACATTTTCTACCATCCCTTTCGTGTGCTGCCGTTGTTATTTGTTCAGGCTGCAGTTTATAAAGAACCAATCTTTTCCATTCCTGGAACTCCAGCAATAGTTCAGCATGAAATTTTAAATAACAGAAGGCATGTATTGACTAAGGTAAATGTGGTTGTACTCATATTTGTTGTTTCAAAGATATTTTTTTGGGAAATTATTATTATTACTGTTTTTATTATTCTTTGACAGGATACTGCTGGTTCAGTAAAGCTCTGGGAGATAACCAGGGGTGTTGTGATCGAGGACTATGGACAGGTGAACTAGATTTTGTTTCCCATTTTCTGTCCTTGTTCATTGAGTAGAAGTGTCTTGCACTTTGCTTCACTTACAAATTTGGTACTCATAGACATTTGTGTATGTATGGATATATTATTTATTGAATGTATTTATCCATTCTTTCAATTTCGCTGTCCAGGTTTCATTTGACGAGAAAAAAGAGCAGTTGTTTGAGATGGTGAGATAGCTACTCATTTGAAATTATATCAGTTGAAGACAATGCATCCGTTCTTAAGGAATTTACTTTTTATCTTTTTGAAACCAATCTAGGTAAGCATTCCGGCATGGTTCACTGTGGATACCCATCTCGGAAGCGTGTCTGTTCATTTAGACACACCCCAATGCTTTTCTGCGGAGATGTATTCTGCTGATCTAAACATAGCTGGCAAGCCTGAGGATGATAAGGTTTTAGATTTTTTCTATTGATTTCGACAATCTTAAGACACATATACCTGTGAGAAGTGGTTCAAGAACCCTTTGATTATAATGTGGATCTGGTGTTGACTTGTCTTTGACAGGTTAATCTAGCTCGTGAAACCCTTAAAGGTCTGTTGGCTCATTGGATGACCAAAAGTAGGCAAAGACTTGGTTCCCAGGCTTCAGCTAATGGAGATGTTTTATCAGGAAAAGATAGTACTGCAAGAAGTCTTGCTCATTCAAGAATTGAGGTAGATGGAAATGCTGAAAATGACTCCGTGGTCCATACTCCTTTTGAGTTTTCCATATGTTCCCCTCCGTCAATTATCACTGAGGGTTCCCCAGGAGGTCCTTGGAGAAAGAAAATTACTGAATTGGATGGAACTGAGGATGAGAAGGACTTCCCTTGGTGGGTTTTGGATTGTGTTTTAAACAATCGGCTACCACCACGAGAAAACACCAAGTAACTTCTGTGACCTCATTAAACTTTCCTTTGCTTAATTTAATGTTAAGTAACAAGTTTTTGAGGAACTGCACTGCATACATGTGCCGAGGCAATGTTAAGAAAGGGCATTAGTTTCGGTTCTCTAAATAAGGCCTAAATTTCTCAATCGCAGTTCTATTTCAGTTGATTTCGTAGGTTTCCCAATATGATTTTATTTCAGTTAATTTCTTTCCTTTCTAGAACATGGTTGATCCTTATTTAATGGAGAAATAAACCTAATTCGATTTTTTATCAAAACCAAAGAGATCTGGATCTCTCTTTAACTGGTCCTAAGGTTTTACACTCCCTTTGATGAGTATTATCAGCTTGGAAGGTGCATGATGACCTAGTCAGAATTCTGCAATTATCGCTGCCTTCATTTTGGTACTCTGGTTGGCAGAAACCGTTTATGAGATTTGGTTAGCTTGAAATAGACTGGGACTGTAGAGCTTTATCAGCAACCTGGTCAATATTTTCGGGTAGATCAATATGTTGGGGTGGGTTATTCATGGATGGACTAAATTAAATAAAGCACATTTTTTAGGAATTTGGAGAAACTACCTCTTTAGTGCAATTTGAATGAAGAATATCAGTTGCTTAAATTCTTTTTTTGAAATTCTCCATTATTTTTGAGAACCTTGATAGAAATGAAATCCTTATCTAAATCTTTTATCCAAACACAACCTAAAGAGATTTGGGTCTCTCTCTAAAGAGTAATAAGGTTTTAGGCTTCCTTTGATCGTACTTCTCTATTGATCACCCTATGACTTGATCCTGTTTGCATTTTAGGTAACAGTACATTGAACTGTTTATTGGTTGACCTTGCAGTCGATGTGTACCAGCACAGGGATGAACTTAAAGAAGTGCCATTAAGTGCACAGTTCCATATGCCTTTTGTTTTTAACTGTTCCTTTAGTCCTTATTGTCTGATATTTTTCTTGTGTCTGCAACTCTGCATTTCTCTTTATTTAGGAGAAAAAGAAATATACTTTTACATTGTTGCACAATACTGCTACATTAAAAACCATGGATAATTATTTATTTTGTTTATTCATTTTCTCTCTCTCAATTGATGAAGGTTTACTCTTCATTTTTTTTCAGGTGCAGCTTCTACCTTCATCCATGTGAAGGTACTGCTGTTCAGATCCTCACTCAAGGGAAGTTAAGTGCACCTCGTATTTTGAGAATACATAAGGTATTCCTGTTTGGTTTTCTGTAGGTCCTTTTTTTGCATTACATGTATTAATAGAAAGTAGCAAATGTTTGATTCTATACAAATTTAGATCAATTGGGTTAGTACACTAGAATCTGTTTCATGCTTTGGAGCATGGACTGAAAAAGGGCTAAAAGAATATTTAGTTAATGAAAATACTATTTTAGGATACATAATTACATATACATCAATAGTATCTTTAACTTTGGTGTAGCCGACACAATATATCAACAAATTTGAATAATTTTCTGTATTAGCTTTCTTGAGCGCTTGTTTGCTAGCAATCTATATCAATGCCGAACAGTTTGTCATATACAGTATTTGTATATCAATATTTATATTTTTCCTATTATAATGTACGTTATCTCCTATATGGTTATGTAGGTTGTTAATTATGTCATAGAAAAGATGGTGCTTGGGAAACCAATTGATACTGCAAATACTGGTGGGTCATTTGCTCCTGGGCTTGGAGGACAATTGCAGCATTCAGCTATTGGAGATGGATCTTTTCGATCTGGATTGAAGCCTAGGCCAAAGCTCCGGCCTTCTGTTGAGATTGTATGCAATAATCAGGCAAGTAAACCACATTAGATTTTATCATGCCATCGGCTTAAGAGCCTTGATCCCTTTTTCAAAACTGTAGTTTATTTTATCATTCTCCGGTACCAATAATAAATCTTACTGTGCGGTGTTTTGAATCAACATACTAAAATTATTCATTCCAACTTGTTTAGTTCAACTTCAATCCTGCTATGATGATCTCTCATTCGATTGCTACTATATGTTCCAGGTCTTATCTCCAGACATGAGCTTAGCTACTGTGCGGGCTTACATCTGGAAGAAACCTGAAGACTTGGTCCTTAATTATAGAGTGGTTCAGGGCAGATGACCTTATCGACTTCTGGGAGCAGGTGAGTGGCTAAGTTACGTGTATTGCTTTTAACTAGTTCTGTGCAAAAGTTGGTCAGAACTGAATTTCTGGGCCGAAACTGGCTTAGTCTATTGAGTTGGGTCTGTTAGAACAGGTTCGGTGTAAGTTGATTAGTAATAGCAGTTTTAGTAAATTAACTTGTACAGAAATTCAGTCCATCGTACAGTGTTTGAACTGAACCCTCTTATGTGTTGGGCAGCAGGTTTGTATCGGAGTCATACTGTTGTGAAGTGTTTGGAATTGTATTTTGTTCATCCTAGGTTGCCCATAATATGTTGGATCCTTGTATATTGGAAAGAAGATGAGTGGTTTTCAAGCTGGAGGCATTCGCCTGACTTCATCAAGACGATCATCTTTAATGTTTTCAAAGTCAATCAGATGCTATCGTAAAGTTTTGGTCTTTGTGTAGTGCATGCTTTCACCATACATCCGAGAAAAGTCCGTACGGTCGAAATGCAAGCGGCAGAACAATTTGTAAACTCCGGGGGACAATCAGCTCAAGGTAAAGTTAGTGCAAGGAAAGCTCTGTAGATTTGTATTGTGGGGGAGATATTATAGAAACTATTGTTACCAAGTGTGTTTCTTTTCTTTTTCTTTTTGCCCTCTTGGAAATAAAAGGACAATTAATTTGTGTTATATTGTCTTGATTTTCTAGAATTTTTTTTCTAAATTGGATCAATATTACAAATTGCGCAAAATAGGATATAAAGAATACATTCAAAGTTCCAACATCATATAGGGATCAAAACCATGATTTAACTAAAGTATACAAGCAACATTCCCCAAAAAGGAAAGACATTGGATAAAACAATATCTTTACGTGGCATCCAATTTATAACTTCAAATTCTAATTGAAACTTGATCTAGATTCGGAGAAAACTTTTATTGTTAGGTATATATATGGAGCTCGTGAGTGGATGGTTGGTTTGATTGAATAAATGATTTTGTCGAATATATAGGGAAGTTTTGTGGAAAGACATTTTAATTTAAGGTTTAAAAACAGTAGAAATAGGTTTAATTGAAAATGTGATGAAAATATAACATTTTAGGTTGTATTTAACTTAAGACATTATATTTTTTTCTCCATATTTTTGGTTATATCTATTTTTACTGTTTTTAATCTTAAATTATACTACCGTTCCTGAGATTTTTTTTCGGGAAAAAACCCTGAAAATTCAAAGAACGGGTGATGATTAAATTTCGCAGCCCTGAAAAAGAAAAAATGAAACAAATAGGAAGAAAATCAATTTTTGTTATTTTATAAAGAGCTAAATGATATTTAGTTCAATAAAAAATAGATAAATATTTCATTTAAATTAATTGCTTGATTGATTAATCAGATAATAATAATTATAAATTAAATATGAACTCATTTATTTTTATTGAATGATGAAAGTAATATTATATGTTTAAAAAATATCTTAAAATTATAATTATTGTTGAATTCATTGAGTGAATGATTACAAAAAGTCTTGTTCTCACGTTTCGGATTTGAGTAGCTGTGTTTGCAGGACGTATATATTATTAATAATTAAGAAAAATTATTAAAAAATATTACTTTGTTATCATTTCATGTGAACAAAACTCACTTATCGTACTTCAACACCTTCTAATCTCTCTTTTAGTCTCTATAAAAAATCAGAGTCAAATCTACAAAATATCAAAATAGTATCAACAATTTTATCTTGAAGGTATGAATATGCAGAAAGTAATTAACACGCAATTTACTTGAAAAACCTTCCATTTTTCTCAACTTCTTGTAGAAAATATTATAATTCGGGTTTGGTAAAAAGCGATGCCTAATAATAATTACAATTCTTTAATTCTTTTCTTGTAACTCAACTTTGCAAGAATTTTGCCTGACCATAACACGTTATGTATATTTAAGTTTATATTATTTGAATTTTTATTTTTTTTTTATAAAATATTCAATAAATAAGATAAGATATAATTTTTAAACATATGAGAAATTAAACATATTTTTATTTGGCAGTCATCTCGAGTCCGGATAATATATTTGAACTATTGAACTATAATATTTTTTTTCTTGGTAAGAGGATTTGTATACATTCACATCAAGTTAAAGTGATTCTGTTCTTCATCTTCTTATTCTGATAAGAGTGGGCACTAAATTCTGCACTGTGAAGGTCAAATCCATACCAGAATAATATGAAATTTGCATGTTTTCAGACAGCTAATGGAAGTCATTATCCGATAAATAAAACGAATCTGATTCTTTAAATAGTTTTCTCAATGGAAAAACCTGGGATTCTCAAAGTTTATGGCGTAGGATCCTCAATTGTTGATGTCATTGTCTCTTTCGTCATTCAAGCTAAAAGAACGCCAATTTTTTTCTATATAAAGAGAGCTTCAAACACCTTTGATAAGTAAGAAAGAAAAGCCCAAAGAGTTCTAGAAAAAAACAATGGACGGATATGGTTACACGTACCGGGGCAGCTACACGACCTACAACAGCGGCGCTGTTCCACGAGGGAGCGCCGATGGGTGGAGCAAAACAAGTTATGATTCGGATCATAAGTGCCAGCCTGTGTACATTGATTCCAGTGGGAGGAGGAACCCGGTCAAGTCTTACATTACTCCGAACGGCAACACCGAGTATTACGTTACCAAAACCGAGGTCGTGGAGGTGCCGACTTATGTGGCCGAATACAAGCAAAGCACCCCTATAAGAGTTGACATGGCGACAGACTACGGTAATGTCGAGCGTAAGCCGATCACTAGGCCCTTAAACCCTGATAAATGGCGGAAGAGCTCGAGTCCTGTTTGGTATCATGGCGAAGAGAAAGGGAATCGACCATCGAGTCCTGTTCGGTGTCATGGCGAAGAGAAATGGAATCGACCATCGAGTCCTGTTCGGTATCATGTTGAAGAGAAATGGACTAAGCCTTCTAGTCCAGTTCGGTATCGTGTAGAAGAGAAATGGATCGATCGCCCTTCGAGTTTGAGTCCTGTTCGGCATCATACCGACGAGAAATGGATCAACCGGCCTTCGAGTCCGGTCCACGAACGTCCGCAACAAGTTGAGGATTTCCTTACAAAAGTCCAAACCCAAGCTAGCCGACCAAACAAGTTCGGTCCTCTCAGTGCAACATATTGGCGCCAGACACCAACCGGGACCACTGAAACCGGCAGCGGTTCATGGACTAAACCAACTAACGGCGGGTCTAATAATCTTAGCCAACCAACGAGTGATATCGGCACCGCCATGGAATACTTAAAAGAAGCTGTTAAACCACCGCCTTCCAGGTATGGATATCCTAACACGATTGACAGCAGAGAAGCTGAAAGAAGATACGGCGGTGCAACTGTCGGGCCGCCGCCAATGGGCAGTTACGGCAGAACCATTGACAGCAGAGAAGCTGCAAGAAAATATGGTGGCACGGCAGTGTGAAAAAACTATTTATGGATGAATACAAGTATGCTTTAGGAAATAAATTGGGAGTCCGTGTCAGTTTATTTACTCGTTTTGGCTTGTTTGATGATATTTTAATGAAGTTCGTTGGAAAGATGGCCCTTTATGTACTACAATAAGCTATCTAAGTTGATGATTATATACATTTGAGTAAATTATTTATTTAGTTATCATCATTTTTGCTTTTGGTTTTGATTATCTAATATTTTTTCTTAAAAAAATAGATATATTTTAAATAAAAAATAAAAAATTAAATAAAGGATCAAATAAATAATTTTTCTTTAAAAAATCACTCTATTCCCAACCAAATCTTTAACTAACAGAATATATATTAAATAAATTATTTTAATTTCAATTTATGTAAAAAATAATTAATCTTGTATTAAAAAATACAGAAAATAACGGAAAATCGAACCGAATAGGAGTAAAACAGCCAATATTTGCTTTGATTTGTGTGCAAAGAGAATGCTACTTACTTCACTACGGGAGTTACCTCCCCATTAAACCCAGATTTTTTTCTTCTATTAATTTCCCGACAATTTTCAAGTATTCAATAAGAAAGAAGTACCCCGAATTTTTACTTATTCATAAGGTTGGTTACCCTTTAATTTCATTTTTGTTCTTTTTCATAATTTCCAGATCAATTTATTTTTAGAAATTGCTTTTCCTTTATTCTGGATTGTTATATATATTATTTACGAATTTTGGTATGTGGATCATGGGGTCATGGTGCCTCTTTTATTGTTTTTGCGATAGATTGCGAGGATCAAACTCATGTTTTCTATTGAGACGTTGGTGTCTGTTTGGCTGGTTAGAAAGTTTTAGGAAAAGGAAAGAAAATGTTAGGTCTTTTCGAGCTTGGTGTTTCTGGGGCACCTCTTTGAACAATTTTTTTGGCTATCATAGATCCCTGAATATTTTTTGGGGTCAATATTTCCTTAAATATTTTCACCATTTTTTTGGGCTAAATTTGAGGAGAAGTGATATTTTGAGATATTATTATTATTATTATTATTATTATTATTATCTTTCTCTTGTGTTTTCTGGATTCTTAATGTTTGATATGCAAGAGAAGTTAAATCATTGGTTTTAAATTCAATTTGAGGGTTAAAATTTCTGTATGTTTTCAGAGGTTATTTTTGTGAATTAATAATGTTTTATGTGTGTAGGTATGTTCAAGAACCAAAGAAGTTGCTTTAATCTGCCATCTTATTCGTGCATTCGGGAAGGCCCTGATCACGCTCCTTGGTTTAAAGCTACCGTAAACTTTAATGGAGAGACCTTTGAAAGCCCTACGTTTTGCTCTACTTTGAGACAAGCAGAACATGCTGTAGCTGAAATAGCGCTAAATACTCTTGCCAACCGAGGCCCTTCAAAAGCACTGGCTGCAAGAGTTTTGGTAAGCAAACATACTTTTTTGAAGTGTTTCTCAGGTTGATTGCGAGTTGCAATGCAAGAACACCTTGTGTTGTGTTGACTCTTTTTTCTCTCTTAGTAACTGACTATCATCCTTAGAGATGCCAATGTCATATCTTAAATTTAAATTTAAGCAATGACTTGACATGGTTTTAACATTGAAAAATGACTTCATATAAGGGTTTAATAGAAGTCAAGGTAATAATCGGTTGTGTCATTTGAACACAACGAGATTTGGCAGTCGTCTGTTGGAAGGTTTAGTTGCAGCAATGAATTATGTCTTTGGTATAATCCATGGTTAAATCACCCTTTAGATCAATTACCTGCATACTTGCACAGCATATTCATCTTTTTAAACTTTCCTTTTAATACAATGATTTATGGGTTTTTCTTTTCTTTTTTTTGGTGAATTGCTTGAAATTGTTGAGCAACGTATACCATATTTTTTGAATCTGTTAACATTATCAATTATAGTTTTATATAAGCAATGGTATGCTAGAAAAACTCTAGATGTTAACTGTTTGCCCCCTCTTCAAGCCAGACTCTGCAGCTGATTTAATTTGTGTCCTTATATTGTTGTCTATGAATTTAAGCAATTATTCTTTGTGCTTTCTGAGCGGACACATGTTGAGCTAAAGCGAATATTCACTATTTCTTGCTTTAGGAAAAGAAATAAAGTAAGAATCTCCCGAGTTTGTGTCTATTGTGCAGGATGAAACAGGTGTCTATAAGAACTTGCTTCATGAGACTG